TTTTTCGATCGGAGGACTTTACTTATCTTCAGTTCGCAACATTCGTACCACTTATTTTTTGAGCTAACTTGGCTGGGCTATTGCTGTGTAGCGCCATCTTGCGGTTCTTTAAATAAGAAATAGATATCAAAAATTAATCCTTCGTATGAAAAAATCACAAAATACAAATTTTGTATTAAACATTTGTAACATTTTAGTAAATATTAATCTACATATTAACTTAGCATCAATTAAAGATATCTTCTTTTAAAAAAGCTATGGTACATACGTACATATAGTCTATGTATGTATGTACATTAGGGTCGGTAAATTTTTTCTACTCTGCGCGTATGGCATATTAGGACTGCACGTGCAATTTTAAACAAATTTTGTAGAAGACATCATATATCTAAAATCTATTTTGAGTTTGCCAAATTGCGAAAATAGGTTTCTGAGAAAATTTGAAAATGTTCACTGTTGCGACCACTGATGGAAATGGATTCCTCATACTAAAAAACTCCTTGTAGTATATTTTTATGCATAATTCAAGTACTCCTTTACGACATACAGCAAAATGTTAAGAAACCTATTTTCGCGATTTGGGAAACTCAAAATAGATTTTAGACCCATGGTTCCTAATATTCATACTTGTACATACGTACACATATGTATCCTAAAATGTATAATGCGTGTTTTTTATGACCAAGAAAATATTATTGGTACCGAATTTAGTTTTAGATTATAAGGCTCAGCTACAAATCTGTTCAAATTGTTCACACTTTACATTCACAAAATACATATTTCTTTTATCGCAGTACTGGCTCGTCTGGTTAGCACATGCTTACACACGCTCAAACATACATATTCCATAACGTTCTTAGGCACTTAATTTGAAATTTTTAGTGTTCAAAAAGCGAAAATCAAATGTTCTTATTATGACACTAATATGTTTCTACTTTATAAATTTTATCTATGTACATTTTCACACACGGTAAGGAGATTCACTGGACGTGCTAAACGCCGTAAAATCTTAAGTTTAAAATTTTTGTTTATATAAAATAACGATTAAAAACGTTTTAGGCGATTTCTAACTTCACCGAAATGTTTTTAAACTAATAGAAAATATATAATTAGCTCTTATCATACACAGCGCGAGTCCTTACAATTATTTAAACCATAATTTTGCAAGAAAAAATTTGAAGACTTTAGATTTTACGACGCTTAACATGCGTTGTGAATCCCCCTAAACATATGTATGCATTCATGTACATATGTAGCTTTGTACGTATCCTCTTAGGTATGTATTTCTTCTTCTATTGATCGTAGGCTCTACGCATAACACGAGTTGCAGGTAGCTGTCAATTTAGCGTTACATGCCGCATTGATCTTTATCTCTTTTAACGTTAGTCGTATTAGTGTCCTGGTGTGACGACAAAAATTTAATGTTCCAAGCACAAACATACACGTGTAGGTATGTATGTACATATGTATGCAGCTATTTTTATCACTTGTTGCAGTGTGGATTGAAGAAATCTATTTCTAATTGCTTTTTTGTTTGTGTTTATGAGTTTACCCTGGTACCCTCTAGGAAAAAATTCTAGCAAATTTGAAAAATATTGAGTTCATAGTCGTAGTAGCAATATAAAAAGCATCTTATTTCGGAAGCATACACAATTATTTTTAAATAAATACACATATGTATGTTTGTGATCCAAAAATCGGGATTTTGTTTTCTAGAATATGTATTTCTTGGGAGGATGAAAGCAATCAAAATTAAAAAAAAAAAAATTAATTCGATATCTTTTATTTTTTTTAATATTTTGAATACATTCTACAAAATCTAAAATTTTCAGAGATTTTTGGTTAATTTTATATTTGTCTCATAAAAAATGTTTTTTCTCTTTTAAATTTGTATATGTATGCTTTTCACTTACATAAAAACCAAATAGGGAGGGAATCTCATTTGTTAAAGGCGAAATCAGATTTTCGTGATAAAAAACTTTTTTTTATTTTTTGTCAAAATTGCAAAACCAAAAATAAAATTTCGAATACTTTTTAAAATAAATTTTATATAAAGTTTTTCGTTGAAGAATTAGAAATTATATTCTATTAAAATTATATTCTATGAAAACTGCTTAGCTCTTCTATATTTTCCAAACATATTTTTAGGACTGCCTAAGTAGTATCATATTTATATATGTAACAATTTCGGCTGGCGATAAAATATTTTTAGTGGAGGGTTTTAAATAAAAAAGAATATATATTTTTTATTAATTTTTTTTTCGACCAGAAAAACAAATAAGGAATCCCGAAAAATTTTCTTGTTTTTGTTACTTAAGTCCTTATATTCAACAATTTGGGAAAGCTCTAATGGTAGCTTCAAGAAAAAAAATTTTTATTTATATTTTTATTCTCTATATATTTTGTAAAATTTATTGGATAACATTTTTGTTGTTATTTTAGTTTTCTTAATGTGTATACATTTTTTTGATTTTTTTTATTTCCCCATTCCCTTGTAATCTAAGCTTAGTTTGTGCATATATTTTCAAATCCAACAAACAAATTTCAACATTTTTTTAATTTCAATTCTCATTCTCAAATTATTTAACAAAATTTATTCGCAAAATATGTATTTCTTTATTAGTGTTCTTAACTCTTTTTTTTCAGAGTTTTTAACTTTATTTTTCTTTGATTTTTTAAATTGTCCATCTTTTCTTGTTTTTGTAACTTATGGCGTTATGTGGATATTTTTGACTCGAGAAAGAGACATAAACTTCTCAACAAAATTTTCTTATTTAATTTTTTTTTTGCTCGATTTATTTTGTAAAATATTGGGTAGCATTTTTGATTTTTTAGTGTTCTTAATGTTTTTAGATTTTTTTTTTGTTATAAAATAACTTGCAATTTTTATTGATTTTTTCTATTCTTTTGTAATTTAAGCATTGTTATGATATATTTCATGTCAACTAAAAACAAACAAAAAAGTTCTCGGCATTCTTTTAATTTCAATTCTTATCCTCAGTTTATTTAGTAGATAAAATTTATTCGCATTTTTTTTGTTTAAGTTTTTACACATTTTATTTGCTTGTTTTTGTAACTTAAGCCCAGACATGCCGATATTTTCTACTCGAAAACCAAGCATAAAAAAGTTTAAAGAAACTTAAAAAAATAATAAATTATAGAAAATCTGCATATACAGTTTTAAGTTTTTAACAATTTTGTTTTCGTTTTTCTTATTCTACTATTTTTGTAACTTAAGACCTCTATCTTAGCTGCAGCAAGTCTCTCTATTCGAAACAATCCCGCATTTTTTTCCTAGAGGGTGTCTGTCATCTTATGTGTATGCATTATACATTTTTTCCATATCTTACCCATATGTGTTTTCAATGTACATATGTATGTACATACGTGCTACTTATTTTCAAAAACAAAAGATATCTGTATTGGCTTTCTTCTAGTAGTCTGTCGTGATATTTGAACTCTTAAAGATATTGCAGACGAGTAAAAGGCTGATCAAAGCCACTATCGGAATGAGGGTGCCTTTTTGGTGACTCGTACATATTGCTTTTGAACTATGTAATTGATAAAAGCAATAAAACGCTGTAAATTGTATGACAATTCAAATTCATGGGACATATTTATGTACGTTTTTTAATTTCAGTATCAATTGATATTCCCCTATTTTGTGGGAATTATTATATTTGTATTTGTTAGCGTCCGTAGAGAAAACACCACCAGGCAAGCAAGTTCATTTTTAAAGACATATTTTTAGTGCAATTGGCACTATTGGTTAAAAGTAAATACTCTGAAGTAATTGGGAAGCCGTTTTCAGAGTGCTAAACATACACTCAACGGCATCATTTTTTTTTTTTGTTTATAAAATCAAAAAATGAGGCACAGCGTAAAGAATTTTTCTTCTATATTTGACCTAGCAATTGGACAATACTTGCTTAAATGTTCAATCTAGAAAGCTGCCAAAAATTGTCTTTTAGTAACAAGGTACAGTACTTTCTGGATTAGAAAATTTTTGGGGGGGTGAAATAACACAAACGGCAATAACGCAAATTTGTGTTATTTCCCAATTGAATGTGAAATAACACAAATTTGCTTTATTTCATTTCTCGTTGAGCAATAAGACCAACTTTTAAACTTAACAATTTGAGTAATAAAGCAAAATAGTGCACATGTGTAGGTAGTCACCCACGTCACGTCGCGCTCGCGTCCCCCGCCCCTCCCCTCCTTTTGCAATTATGTACTGGTGGCATTATAACCGTTTAGAAAAAGGAAAACAAATTTAAATTGAAAAAAATTAAAATTGTTGCAACTTTCTTTCTTAGTAAATTGGTTCGCTTCTCGAAGCATTGATCCATCCTGTGCCAGGCCCAGTAATCAGCGGTTGTGCTGCTGAGTTGGGCGAGCTTTCCAAAAGCTGCTATTTAATCGCCGGTTTTGTATGGAAAATGTTTCACATGCAAATAGATTTTAACAATTTAGAATTTTTGTGAGAAGAAATGTAAAATATTAGACATTTCCGAGAACAAATAATTTGAAAAAAATCAAATCAGCTGCTATACTGATATTACCTGTTCAATGTGCATTGGTTTAATTGTATTTTTGGAATAAACAAAGTTCTTTTTCCTTCTGTCAGTAAACTGTTTTTTTTTTTACAAATAGTATAAATAAGCAATGGGTAATAAGGCAAAATTTGTTTTATTTCCAACCTTTGTTGGAAGTAAAGCAAAACTCAGATTTTGGTATTATTTCCCATTTAAAAGTGAAATAAAGCAAATTTTTCGTTATTGCCGTTTGTGTTATTTCACCCGCTCCCCGAAGATGTTAGGTTTGCCCATTTTGACCTCCCAAAATTTGTATATGATCTTCTGGGTCCTTTCCTACGCCTTTTAGGTGTCTTCCTAGGGGCTCCAAAATCAATTATTTACAAAACTTCTTATGAGGAATATCTACATATGTATATCAATTGTAATGCACCCCAAAACAATAAAAATGCACAAATTTTAATAAAAATTCTTATTTGCATTAAATTTATTCATAAAAAGTAAATATACATTTTTACAATAAATGAATCAATGGCAGGGACATTATTAGTTAAAGCTTAAAGTATATCAAAATACAGTCTAAACATACAAACGCTACTTAATCATGAAAACACAATCAACACTTAACTCATATCTACATGGCCGCTATCCGAGCTGGAGCTGTTTTTGTCATATTTACAGCACATATCGCTTTTGCCTGCAAAGTAGTTAGACATCAAATTCCCATTAAATATATTTCAATTTTTGGGCAAATTTCAAAGAAATTCACCAAAACCTCTCTACGCACTCACCTTCCACGTCCAGTGAGCCGCGCTGATGCCGCCACAGCTTGAGCAGCAGCACCACCAAGGCGCCCATCATTACTGTCACGCCCACAACAATAAAGAATGCACCCACCCAGCTACTACCAGCGTTTCCGTCCTGCCATGGCTCGCCCTGTTCAACAATCGCCGCGCAAATCGGCCCCACTTCCAAACCATTCACTGGCGCCGGCTGATGGCGTATGAAGCCGTCGGCGCATGCGCAACGACCAACCAGCTTGCAGACAGTATTATCGATGCAGGGCTGAAGTGTACAATTCGTCTCCTCCTCGTTGCTGGGAAAAAGCAGATTACCTTCATCAACATCGCCGTCGTCGGAGCGCGTCTCCAAATTCAATTCGGTTGATTGTAGTTCAAATGCCGCGGTGCTTTCAAGAGTTTCGTGAGTTGTCGTTTCGATGCCCTCGCTGCTGCTGCTTGCCAGATCTTCACACTCCAACGCCTTACAATCTGCCAGCGGCACACACTCGCCGCTTGCCAAATCCTTGGCATAGCCCAAATTACAGCTGCACTGATTTAGCGCCACACAGCGACCATTTAAGCAGTCCGAGGCACAGGTGGGTACACAACTGGTGGCATGAGCTTGGTAACCGGGCGCACATTCGCATACATCGGGCGCTACACAACGGCCACCAAAGGGACAGCCAGACGCGCAACGTGGCTCGCAGTAATGGGTGCCATTGTGCGCCGATTTGATGGCATCGTAGCCGCGGCGACACTGACACATTTGCGGCGAGCGACAGAAGGCGTTGGCTGGGCAGCCGGGTTCGCAGACAGGTTGGCAAGTCTTATTAGCAGCCAAGGCATAGCCGTCACAGCAATCATTCTGGAGGCGTATGCGTGCCACCTTCTCCACGTCGACGTACTGCTCCACTTGTTGCTTGCTTTTCTTAAACACTTTGAAGAACCCAGTGGGTTTGATCTCCACTTGGCGGGTTTTGTTCACAGCCATCTCCTCGTAGTAGGTGACATTTCGTAGACAATAGTTGTCCTTCTGATCCAAGTTGAGTGAACTGTCGTCCTCCGTGGCGATTTCACTGTTCACATCCGCGCTGGCGCTGATCAGACAGACTGTGAATAGTTGGAACAGCAAGCAGAGGCAAAGCAGCGATTGTATTGAGTGTGGCATTATTTCACCTTCCTCAAACAGCTTTTTAAAAGGAGAAAGTTTCTCGAGATTCCTCCCTTTAGTGGCCCCAAATTTGGCTTATACTGCTTTGTTTAATTTTTAACCGTTTTCCTTTTTGATGCTTCAATTTTTAGATTTATTCACTTAGTTCGCCTAATCTAAGCGTAATACTCCTTAATCGTTCGAGAACTCAATACAAACTGAACGTCAATTCATTTCAAAATATGCTGGTATCCTCAACTTTGTATGTTTACGAAATCTGTTAATCACTATTTTGATTGTGCTGCAGCTCAATAGTTACACTGTATTTGTTATTTCTTTTGTGTGGCTTAACACACCCTCATGCACGCATACAAGCGCATTGTAGGGAGATGCAAGGTACCTAGTAGGAAATTTTAATAAAGTAGTAGTAGTAAAGGAAAATGCTATTGAATCTTTATTCAATTTTCTTGCAATTTTTAGCAATCGCTCTATTGAAAAAATTAACATTTTAGAGCTTTCCCAAATTGTTGAATACAATTTTCTAAGGCCTTCATAAAAATTGACTTTAAATATTTTGAGAAAGGAAACTTATGCTTTAGGTGTTGATAAAAAAATGAAATTGTTATAAATTTTTCTGGTACTTCTCGATATTTTTTTCAGAAATTTTCAAGATTTTTTGTGACTATTTGTGAATTCTTTGCATTTTCTAAGGCTGTTCTTAAGATTTTTCGAAATTTTTCTTAGTCGTTTGGGTGTATTTGGGCTCAGTCAGGATCTTTTAGAGGTGTTTGGAACTTTCCCTGGCTTTTCGTGAAATTTCAATAGTAGGTTTTAATCGTAGCTTTGCGTTTTACGAATACCCGAGAAGATTAAAAGCAAAAATTGCAAATGTTGCATTGAAAATAATACCAAGCAAAAAATTTAAATTTTTCTGACTGGATATATGGTTTTATACTTCAGTTGCTAGGTGTTTTGCTATTTAATATAAATCTCTGGTTTTAAAAGAATAAGCAATTGGGGCCAGCTGCCAGGAAAATTCTAAAATGAATTCAACACTGCAAATAACGTACTGCAGCTGTTTTAACCCGTGACTTATTTTTAGTTTTTAGTTTTATATTAATCGGGCAAAATTAGAGTGACGGGTGTGTAACTATTAAAACATTGATATCAGTAGCTTTGCAAATCATGTGACCACAGGTGGTCTGAGTTGAGTGTGAAGTCAGAAAGGAACATGTGACTAATACAACTTTTAACCCTCTCAGGGCCGTAAGCATATATTGAAAACAAAAAATTATGTTTTGAACAGGGACCGAGAAGAAAAGGTGTGATGGAAACCAAATGTGGTTCTCGTGTTTTGTTCCCAAGAACGCTTCAAAACCAAAACCAAAATGAGAACAAAACTGTCGAGAATTTTCTCAGTGGAAATTATATAATAACAAAACCCTGTGCAACGTTCCCAAAGAGAACAAAATGGGAACAAAGGTCTCCGAAACGTTTTGGAAAAGTACTAAGTTACTAAGTCTAAGGAATTTTCTCTTGAATAAAAATTTTGGAATTAGAGTATCAGGAACTTTCTGACAAAGAACTAAACGGGAACAAACCTTCTCCGAACTATTCGCGAAGAATTTAAGCGAGAACAAAATTTTTCACATAGCGCTTATTAGTTTGAAATGTTTGAATATTAAAATTAATCCAAAAAGAACTGAAAGATAATTATGCAAATTAAGTCAACGAAAGACTTAAGACATGCACTTTTCTCGCACAGAATATTAAAACTTGTTCCATAGGTGGACAGTTCACCCTACTGATAAACAATCTGTAGATTGAAGTGATACCGATTTGCTTTAGCTTAGAATTAACAACCGTGGTTCTCACTGAAAAGATTTTTCATTCCAGCATGCTAATCACCTTCTCATTCTTAACGCAAAGTTCTCAAAACATTTTGTGCTCTTGCAGAACGTTCCCCAGACTTTTATTCTTATTTGATCCTCCTTGTAAAAGTTCTCGATACGTTTGTTCTAATTGTCATTCTGTTCTTCTTGAGAATGTTCACGAGAGTTTTGTGCGCATTATGTCTTTAACGGAAACCTTCCCGAATTTTTTGTTCTAATTTTGATCTCGTTTAAAGTGCTCTGCATACTTTTGTACCCATTTGGTTCTTTTGTGGGAACGCTCTTGACATTAGATTTTGTTCCCGTGCAAAACTAAACCAAAACTGGAACGCGTTCTCGGTCCCTGGTTTTGAAATGGAAATTGTGGTTCATCGACGATTAAATAATAAAAATCCGATATCTAACAAAAAAATGTCATGTAACAAATAATCTCTTCTAATATTTTCTTAATTTGAATTGTTTTATCCAGCGTTTTTTTCCAAAATATATTTTCGCCAAATATGTTGTTTTTAGCTATTTTCTTCAGTGATTTGTTTTTTAATTTCGGTAGATCGTACTTTTCAAAAAAGTTAAATGTTAAGAACGACTTTTCCCTCTAAAAATTTGCCCTAAATACATTTTTTTTTTTTTTGAGTCCTATTACCAAATTTAATTTTTTCTGAAATAGTAAATTTTATAGCAAAATTTTTTCCTCAATAAGTCTTTAATTTGGTTAAACACATTTTTCTTTACCACTAGTTTTTCCTAAATTATGTTTCGTTGTAAATTTTTTTTTCTAAAAAAACTTTTCTTCAAAAACTTTTTTCTACAAACTTCAAATAAAATAAGTTTCGTACATGTTCTAAAAATTTTTTTCAAATTTGAAAAAAATCTTTTTTTTTAATATCATAATAAAAATACTTACTCCATGGGCCTAATTTGTGCCTAATCACTAGTCATAAACTTACCTAAAAGAATACCGAAACGTAGGAGTATAGCTCCTTATAACAACACTGCGCTCTATTTGATTACCGTGCCAATATCGATAAATGTATCCATACAAATATCAATAATCGATAAAAAGTGGCACCTTCGGAAGTTTCTAACATAATATCAACAATGATATGATAACAATTTCGAAACCTTATCCATATCGATAACGATATGAATAAATTGATGAAAAAGAAACCCCTAAAGACAACACAGAGGATGTTTTTAAAACAATATTTTTATTGTTACGATAAAAATATCGATAACCATAACACTTCCCTTGTGACCATTTCGGAAATCCTTAAAATCGAGATCGAGCACCATTGGACAAATTTCTTAAGGGGTTCTTTTTTGTCACCCATCATTCGCTTAGAATAGTATTTCGGTCGTTTTTTTATCAAAGGCAGCCAGCGAAAAAAGTATTTGTATAGATTTTTGTGCGCATTTAATGCTGTATTGTTGGTTTTTATCAACAAATACATAGGCGTTTTTTCACAAAATATTATTTATGTACCACAAAGGCTGCGCTAATACTTCTCCGATTAGTGACTCAATATGATTTATATATATATAAGAACTTAGGAGAAAAATTAACAAAAAGAATTATGAGCTTATATGTCCATTAGGGTGCATCACGCTCCAACCAAAAAAAATCGGTACGGTCTTTCCATCGGAATTATACATTTTTTTTTTTTAAGACTACCAGCGAACTCAGTGAAGAAGTCTGATGAGGAGACTTGGTTATCTCCAAAATAGCAGATAGTTACAACTTCTACCAAGTTTAAATTATTGTTGTTTTCCATAAAATTTTTTCATTAGAAACGGCCTCAAGCTCAAAAAAATTTGAATGTAAGACTACCGCCAAAATATTTTGGAAACATAATAAGTTGCCGTGAGCTTGACCTAGTTGAATATACGGCCAAGAATCCACATTTTTATAAATACAATCAGGTTTTAAAAATCTTTTTCCAAAAAATCACAACAGATGATAAGTAGTAGAGTTTAAGCTTAAAAAAGCTGCATAAAAGTGTTTAAAAATTTGATCAACGGAATCAAAATAAGGACATTTATGGAAGTATTTTCAAATTGGTCTAGCTCAATACTTTTTTGAAACATTTTGGCGGGAAGTCCTAAAATATAATAAATTTTATAATTTTGCTGGAAAAACCGCAACTATTTTTGGTGGGGCATCCTAACGTACGTACATATGTATATATGTATGTTTATTTATTTTTATCAGTTAGAAATTTTGTAGAGGGACAAAAATTTTGAATGACTTTGACGCATCGACATACAAAAGAAAAAAAATTAAAAACATCTCTAGTCGCACACACAAAAACTTGTAAATTGAACAGTGTGCCCCCATCAGTACACTACCCATACTGCAATTAAGAGAATGCAGATAAACCCGGCAAAAAGATAGAGTCGGCGCCGCTTGCTTGCAAATGTTTACCGACATACACGCCGAACTGTCCGAAAATACAATTATTTACGCCGGGAAGTGATTCATTCGAACCTTGCACGGCACGCACAAACTAACACATGTACATACATACAAATGTACGTACAGAAGTTTATGAATAAATAGTTTGAGATTATTTAAAAGCGGTCAGATATGCAATAATACGGAAGTATATATACATATGTATGTATGTAAGTAATGAAATAATTTACTTAAAGTATGCGAGCATGCGTCATAGTTCTTCCACGCGCACGCGCTTGTATTTTCTTTCAAACACAAAACAGTTGTAAATTAATATTAATTCCATTTATTGTATTTCCCTCGCTAGAAATATTAAATTCATCAACACTCTTACTGGCGTTGCACTCTCGCTTTCTCTTTTTCACACTTTTTTTCCCCCGGTAGCTAAGCAAAAGTCAATGAAAATACAAAAAAAAAAGCATAAACACCCTGAAATCACCATTAATTGAATGCCAGCACAACTGCTCTGCTGGCGCCTCTGTTGTCGGGTGGTTAGCTGCCGCAATTAATATTTATTGTATACAGTTTCATTCCTGTTCATTTTCTAATGATCTTGAAAACGGTTGATTTCCATTTGAAACTTACACTTATCACGTTTTGCTTATCTTGAAGAGTGAGTGTGTGTGAAAGTCACCATTTAGACTCAATGCGATTCGGCGGACTATGAATGAAAACAGCGCTTTGACTTTTGTACATTTAAAGCCGGATATTTATTTAATTATTTTATTGTAGTTCTTTGGAATTTGTTTGTATTAAATAATATGAAAATTTGGTTTTGGTGATGAAAATAATAAGAAGAAGACACGTTGGTCATATAAATACATTAGGGTGCCTCGCACTCCAATATAAATAAGGCGGGTTTTCATCAGAAAGCGAATCTTATGACACTCCA